GCATTAAGGCGTGTCAACAAGCCGTGGATGGGATGAACGCCTTGAAATTCGAGGGTTACTTGGATATTGGATATTGTTGTTTGTCCAATGACAGCGACTTGTCTCGAAAGCTTGTGAAGGTTGTCCGAATACGACGAGAATACAACATTGAGTCGCCTCTGAATGTACTGATATCTCCCCACGTCGAACGCGAAACATTGTCCCGGCTGGAGAATGAAATGAAGCAGTCCGATTTTATTTTGCTTGTTTTGAGGTTCTGGGATTATGTCCCACCATATCTCATTGAAAAGTATGCCGTATCTGCGTTTTTGAACAAGAATTTACTGCGTGCGATAAGACTTAGAATCAAGGAACTGAGGCTACCAGGACGAGGTGAGTCACACAGGTGTGCGCTGAAAGTGCACTCAGGCAAGAGCTTCGCCAGAAAAGAGGTTCTACCGCCACCGGAACGTCTTTCCAATCCGGTTGCCATGGACCACTGGGTGCTGTATGAGCCTAAAGTCCATAAATTTCCACTGGTGGACGGCTTTTTCTTTGTGGACACAAATCCGAAGACGCTGGTTGGGCTGCGGATGTCTACGGCAAGTAAGCACCGCACCACAACCAGCGCTGTGAGGCGGTTCACTGAGTGCCTGGCGGCATATTTTGAGGGTTGGGAGGAGTTATCCCGAGACATGTCGTGGGAGATTATTTATGTGCGGCACGAGATATACAGGCCGATGGAGGGACGGCAGAAATTTGAGGTCGTCAATTCCGACAATTTGGGCGACGATGAAAACCGAGAGATTGCGGCGTTCTGTAGGGAAAAGGTGCGCCAGTACCTAGCAGCACTATCATCCGCTGACGCCAGAAGAGGCGAAGCTCTCCGGAGGTGAGGAAGAACGAAATAGGAGAACGAATTAGGGAATGAAAGGGGTAGTTTTGATTTCTGGTAAAAAAAAATATTGTGGGATTTATTTTTGGATACTTGTGTGGCTACGGTGCGGGTGCACCCGCACCAGACGGCAGTATACCACACAGATTCCAAAAATGCCCAGCTCTATCGAACATAAAAGTGACCGAAGAAATTAGGGAGGGAGTGGGGTTGTTTGTTTTCTGGTAAGGAACATTGGATGATTTTCACACAGCATGTTAATTGTGTGTGCATAAGAGGCATAATCGTGGAATTGCCCCGGTATGAGAAAACCATTGTAGCTGGCGGTGCTATGGTGTTGCTGCATTTTCCATTTTATTCTATCGTGTTCCAAGACCCACCAATAACAGAAGCATATTAAGG